GAGTGCTGACTCACCTGCTACGTCACCGTGGCCAGAGCCGCCACGCCGCCGCTGGGGAGGGAGGGGGTGTCGTCCATTGAGCAACACGTCACAATATTAAAAATGTTGTAATCGGTTTTTAAGTTTCTTTTAGAATTTATAAACCAAGTAGGTTCGTGTCCTCTTTCTTATTACTTCTCTTGACGGAGGCCGAACGTGTGCCGCCTTGTCGTTCTTGATTAGATGATTCTTTGATGTCGTCCTGTGAGTGTTCGTGGCGCGCATAAAATAATAATGTCGCAATAAAATAATACGCAATAAAACCCATGTTCAATTTCTTTCCTCCGCTCATAGCAAAAGCCTCTTCCCATCACTTTACCTTCTTTATTTACCAACGCTCTACCCTCTCTGAAACCAACTTTTGCTACAAGGAAGGACGGGTAAAGCCTGGCAACCTTCAAAGCAGGAAAATTTTCTGTTCCCCTTTTGAGATGTGATCTCTCACTTCTCCCCTTTCTCCTCTGCTTTTCTCTATCCCTTCGTCACTCTCTCTTCTAATATTCCTTATCTGACCCCTCCATCTCACCACACTCCTTCCTTCTGTCTCTCTCGTTGTCCACCTCTCCCGTTGTTCTCTTGTCCTCACGTGATGCTGACAGTAAACGGCGCAGGGAGTCAGAACACGTGACTGCATAGAACTTAACATACTTCGATCTTGTCCTGGCTTCCCACACATTAGGGGAATTAACTCCGCGGAATACAGACCGAAGCTTGCAGTCGATTGGGAGGCGGTCCTGGCTTATATTTTGGAAGACCCGGGCTCACATCTCGGCCCTGAGGCTGTCTATCATGATCGAATTCTCTCGTGGGTTTCATTTAACCCCACCCCCTTTCCCCATGTGAATATCGGCATGCTAAATATAGTTCCTGTCTCGCATGACAGATGTCACCCAACAATAGGTTGGTGTAGCCGAGGAAGTGCCTCAATTATATCACGACTGCTTCCTTCCAGAACCTTTCCAATTCATCGTTCAGTCGCCTCACCATTTTGCGCTAATTGGCCGTGGCCTGTCAGCTTCGTAAAACGAACCACAAAATAAGAGTGATGTATGTCTCTCTTACAGAATACCAAGAGGAAACGGTAGTGCGCAGCCGCAGATCTGTTCGTGTTCTCTCTGCTTGTGGCGGGGCATCAGTGGAAACTGCAGCTCTGGAAGCAAAGCAGGGACTCGTTAAGTAAGTGTTACCCGTACATGTATTTTCCATGCAGGCTTATGGTTCTGAGACAGGAAACGGCAGCAGCGAAATTTACTGTACGTGTTTATTTATGCCTGGCCTTCCTTGTCGCGTTCCTCAACTGAGATAAAGAATTTTAAAAATTGTTTAGGTTATTCGGGGTCTATAGTTAACAGCGCGTCACCCTCCCTCCCACAGTGAATCTGCATCCCCTGCCTCACTACTTCCTGCCATGCTTCTCCTCACGCTCAACCCAGAAGCCAGGTACAATGAATTTTATAATCTGCACAGAGGAGTCAATTCTTGAGCGTTCACTCACTATTACTTAATGGTCTCTAAAACAGTAAGACTACCGTAAAATGTGTAAAAAGGTAATGCCACCTCTGAAACAGGCCGTGGAGGCCCATAGGGTTGTGTGACGTCGAGACTCCCACATTTTCTAGACAGTCGGGTCTCAGATGGCGGTGAGGTTATCAGCCTTACGCGCCAGCCGCCCTTTACCCCCCAAAGAAAGATTCCTGGTACTTATTTCTGTTAGAGACTGAGTCGACCCCAGGGCCATAGTGCGGCTGGAAGGATTAGGTCAAATGAAAATTCAGTGACCTGCGATCTTCCGGCTTGTAGCATAGTGCCTCAGCCAACTATGTTACGACGTGTCCCCGTTACGTAGGAGTACTTAGAGAAAATGTGAAGCTAATGAGTTCAATGTTTGCAGATTTTCGTCCCTAACACGACAAGGGTTGCTGTAACACTTCATAACTTGCAAAAAAAATTTACGTATTGTAATTTGATTCACGATTTCAAGAATTATACAAAATCAACGAAATACTTTAGTTACTTGGATAATGACGCTGTGATACCAGACAGGCAATTAACGGCAATCGATAAACACGTAATGCTAGCAGCACGGCCTCATGTCTCAGTAATTCTTACATTTCCTTTTATTCGTGTTAGTGTAACATCCATTGAGAATTCTGCAGGAAAGCCCATCACTTCTTAAATTTTCGCTCTGTTAACTTCTCCTGCTTTCTCTCCTATTAGTTTCCAGTTCTACATGTTATCGACGGATGCCTCGAAGCCGACGTTTGACGTCATCTCCCACGAATAGCACGCACACACAGTCAACTGTAAACCGTTCCCTTTATACAGGATTATTCATAAGTCCGTGGAACATTTTAAAAATTCACAACAAATGAACTATGCATCGGATCGTGGCAATTCTTACGCCGATAGAGAATGAATCTCTCCAAGTTCTTTTTTTAAGTTGCCTGCTAATCTCAGGGATCTTCGTAACCGTGTGCTGTGGCTCTGGTCAACCGTGATATACTGACACGGGTGTGGGACGAAATGGGTTATTGCATAGATGTCTGCCGTATCAGCAAAGATGGGACACATTGAGCATCTATGAACTACGTAAAAAAATGATGAGTTTATCTCTATTTCACTGTAATAAAATTTGTTATCCCTTGCATACTTTATTTATTGTAAATTTTCAAAACGTTTCACAGATTTGTGAATAACCATGTATATGCATATCAGAGTACTATCGGTACTCACAGAGTAGACACGATACAGTGGAACAAAAATACCTTCACTCGTTCGTCGATCTGCCATGGAACTTAGGTTCATGCAACGTGCCAACTCTTGACACTTCGTTACTACGATAACGCGAAATTGCGTAACATCACCGTTGCAATACTTCCTATACACCCAGTGAAATTGGAATTAAATTAAAATTGTGTAAAAATACGTAAAAACAGCTGAATGCACAGTTAGAAGTTCTCACTGCGGTGACTGTGAAGAGTATCGTTGTCTTAGTATGTGATGCCGTGTAGTCTGGTAGAAGGTTATAGATATTTCTAATGAACGTACTGTGTCCTTCCTGAGGCCCGAACAGTAATTACATCAGTTAAGTGAGTAAGTAGCAGATCAGCTTTCATATACTCTTTGCTTAGCCTACTTTTCCGTCCTGAAGAAGGAGGCAGTACGTTGCTCCGAAATATGCCAGTTTCTACCATACTACATGTCGTGTCGTGCCAAATGATAGTAGAATTATTTGAATTTGTAACATAGGTCCAGGCCTTACACCGTTTATGGGCAGAACTCCCAGTGGGAACAGGCCTGCCTGTTAGATCACTTTTGATGTAAATTCCTTCGCTTAATACAACCACAATGTTAAAGGAAATACCACCGGTTTATACATTTGAGAACATGCAACATTCCTCGTCTGACGTCACAACACCGTTTCTGTAATCGTTATATAGTTGAGGGGGGTCCAAAGTGATTTGTGTGTATCGCTTTTTGTTCCCTTTTCGAAGAACTTGTTGCTATGATGTAGGTTATTCCAAAATCTACTTTTCTCTTTATATTTTCTAAGTACCCCATATACGTACTTCCATTTACCTGGAGTGACTGAGAAAATCCACGAAGCGCTAGTGTTAGGATGGCCGGTCACCGAGTTGAGATTTACTTTACGCTGTGAGCCTCAAGACTTTCCGGCTACAACGAAGCGTTTCCGAAAACCAGTTTCTGACTAAGTATACTATATATAAAAGTAAGAGAGTTGAATACAGAAAACCACTAGTTTCGTGCATGAAAAATTGTCCAGGGTCTGATCAGTGTTCACTAGCCTCATGAATATCCGATAATTCGCGTTAATTATACATTTTTCTGTTTCCTGCCGGGGACGTAACAGAGAAACGCGATAATAACTCCGTGTTCTTGCCAATATGTACGGCCGATAAAGCGTTTTGGGTGCGAATCGAATCCTCATTCCCAGTGTTTTCTTTCAATTACATGAGCAAACTTTAATTTCTTAGTTTCAGTGTTATTCCTGCTTTTAAGTTTCCACCCGCTGTACGTGTATACTGTTATATTTGCACGGAAAACAATTGCCTCGGACGAAGAACAGGTACTCCTGTTTGTAACTGTATTAGCTGTGTGTGTCCCACGTGGTACTTGTCCTATTTTGGAACTAAATTATGGAATCGTTTATTATATTATTTTTTTATTTCTGGGTAAAAAGGATCGGTCCATTACCGAGCTGGTTACTCAACAGGCAATGCGCTTTAGTCTTATTCGGAAGTGCTCGGTTCGAATATCGGTTGGGCAAATCTAATCCTGACTGAGGCTTTTGTGGATTCCCTCTGTCTCCCTCGAGACATGTGGGGATAGGACCTCTATCAGATCACCACCGCTTCCTTCCAGATCCTTTCCCATTAATCATTCATATACAGTCCTACCACTCGGTGGCACACAATTTGGATATCGATCTTGTTTTAAAATAAACCACGAAAATGAGATTGGACTCACAAATCACTGGAAACTTAACTGTATGCCGGAGAGGCACTAAACGGGTCACAAATAGAAGTAGAACAGCTGTAATTGACGTAATAGGTTTTCTATATGTATCACTAGATAGCAGCACAGTCCAGCTTCATGACAGTCTAGGTAGCAGACACGCATGCGCATCTTCAGTAGTTAATTTCAGCAGTCAAAATGGTGTTCGTGCTTGAGGTGTATACTACCGAAAAGCAAGCGTTCTGTTGTGCGTTTCTTTGTGGGCAAAATGACTCAGTACAATGGACATTCATGAAGAAATATTTCCTGTTTACGGTGGGAAGTGCTTGTCGCGTAAAGCGGTTCACAACTGGGTGGCAAGCGTTTCGCTGATGACGAAGAGGATGAAATGGAGGTGCGGAGGTGGCTGAGACAACGCTCCAAAGTTTCTGTGCCGCGGGTTTCGACGCACTGGTAAAACGATGGGATAAGTGTATCAGTGTTGGTGGAGAATATGTCCACAAATATTCCTTCCAATTTCGAATATCACGTGTTTTACGTTTTATATCTATTTGTGACCTATTTATTAACTCTTCCTCGTCTTTTGGAGGGACTGCTTAACGATGCCATCAGTAGCTAGACTATATAGCGTTGGAAACGATGTTAAATCGGAGATCTAAAAGCAAGGATCTGTAGAGGAATTGATGTACTCTGCTACTATTTACCTGGAAGAGATGAGGAAAGCCTCATAATACCGTATTTACGCATGTATAAGCCGCACATTTTTTGCCAAAAATTCAAGAGGAAAACTGGGGTGCGGCTTATATTCGAAATATTCGAAATCACACTTCATTTAAAAAAATTATATTCATAATTAGTAATACAGGGTGTTCTACTCCTGAAATAATATTCCAAGAAAATTATTTTTTCTATAATTTCTGTCTGAAAATTGTGCTGCGGCCTATACACGCACGCGGCCTATACATGCGTAAATACGGTATTTGGTGTCTTGGCCGAGATTCGAACAAAGTGAGTCTACAGTGCAACCGCTACGGCAACCTGCCTTGTCAAGATTATCCCATAATCATCCACAGCAAACAACAATTTCTGAATACCTTATAACTTGTCAGAAGATGTTTATACACTCGTTTCAAAAACGTTCGTTTTATATTTCCGCTTGTCGTTACTATAAATTATTCTTTGTTGCCTGTTCATCTTCGATTACCATATATATCGATCTGTATAACGAAGTCATTACAAAGACGACATTCCCGCCATATATATAAGATATTTATTAACTTCATTTCTGAGGTAAAGGTTCGCAGTTGGCATGCATCGCGTGCGTACGTATGAGAGCAGAAAGTAGGCATTCATTCTTAATCGATTTGTGGGAGATTTTAGAACGGCCTTCATATGTCACACGAAATTTCGTTTCTGGTCTTCCATTCTTTACCACAGTCATTCAATTATGAAGAAGGAGAAGACAGTATTTCGAATATAGTTACTGCACGCAGACAAGAAATATCCAGGAAGGTGCATGAAGGTTTATTTTGGATTAATTCGCCTTGAACTTTCAGGTTCGTTGAGTGGTGTTCTGCGTCCTGGCTTAAGAGAATAACGCAATGCATATTCGCGTAATTCTCTCATATAAAATTTTAACGAAATGTGAAATCGATTATGGGATAAGCCTATATGAAAATGTTCATGTATGTCCTTAACGT